ACTATACCATCTCTTTTTTTGTTTGCATTTGCCTCGACTTTTCCTTCATTTTGCTTCAACCTTTCCATGCACTTGTGTTTCATTTTTGAAACAGTGTAAATCTACATTTAAAAAATCTACATTTGGGGCGCCTGGGTGGCGCAGTCGGTTAAGCGTCCGACTTCAGCCAGGTCACGATCTCGCGGTCCGGGAGTTCGAGCCCCGCGTCAGGCTCTGGGCTGATGGCTCAGAGCCTGGAGCCTGTTTCCGATTCTGTGTCTCCCTCTCTCTCTGCCCCTCCCCCGTTCATGCTCTGTCTCTCTCTCTCCCAAAAATAAATAAACGTTGAAAAAAAAATTAAAAAAAATAAAAATAAAAAATCTACATTTAAAAATCTACAATCTTTACCTATTAATTGATATTTATGGGATTTAATGACATGTGGGTCCATTTCTACAATCTTATTTTGAGTTTTCTATTATCCTTATTATTTGGAGATTCTGTATTTGCAAATTGGTTTTGTGTGTTTGTCAAACAATTCAATAACAAGAAAACAAATAACCTGATTAATAAATGAACAAAGGACTTGAGTGGACTTTTCTCAAAAGAAAACATACAAATTACCAACCATATATGAAAAGATGTCAACACCACTAATCATCAGGGAAGTAAACACCAAAACTACAATGAGATATCACCTCATGTCTTCTTAGAATGCCTATCATCCAAAAGTCATAAGATAACAAGTGCTGGCAAGGATGTGGAGAATGAGGAGTCTTGTGTGTGTTCGGTGGGAATTTAAATTGGTGCAGCCACTGTGGAAAACAGTCTGGAAGTTCCTCAAAAAAATAAGAAACAAAACTACTATATGATCAAGCAATCCCACTTCTGGGTATACTATATCCAAAGGAAATGAAAGCAATATTGAAGAGATATCTGCACCCCCATGTTCACTGTACCATTAGTCACGATAGCCAAGATATGGAAACCATCTAAGTGTCCATGGATAGATGAATGGATAAAGAAAATGTGATATACATGAATATTATTCAGCCTTAAAAAAAAATCCTACCATTTGCAACAACATGGATGAATCTGGAGGATATTATGCTACGTGAAAGAAGCCAGACACAGAAAGGCAACTACTGCAAGATCTCAAAAAGTGGAACTCATAGTAGCAGAGAGTAGAATAGTGGTTGCCAGAGACTAGGGGATGTCTAAGTCTTCTGTTGAAAGATGGGTAAGTTCTGGGGATCCAATGGATAGCATAGTGACTATAATTAATAATACTGTGTTGTGTACTTGGAATTTTCTAAGAGAGTAGGCCATAAGTGTTCTCACCACACATAAAAAGGGGTGACTTGGGGCGCCTGGGTGGCGCAGTCGGTTAAGCGTCCGACTTCAGCCAGGTCACGATCTCGCGGTTCGTGAGTTCGAGCCCCGCGTCAGGCTCTGGGCTGATGGCTCGGAGCCTGGAGCCTGTTTCCGATTCTGTGTCTCCCTCTCTCTCTGCCCCTCCCCCGTTCATGCTCTGTCTCTCTCTGTCCCAAAAATAATAAACGTTAAAAAAAAAAAATTAAAAAAAAAGGGGTGACTATTTGAGGTGATAAATATGCTAACTAGCTTGATTATGTTGATCATTTCACAATATGTACCTATATCAAAATTTATTATACCCACCTTCAATATACACAACTTTTACACATCAATGTACCTCAATAAAAGCTTACAGATTTTTTTTAAATAAAAAGAAGGTTCCACTGGGTATTCAGAACTAGATTAATTGCTTTAAGCCAGCATGTTGAAAAAAATTTTTTAATGTTTATTTGTTTTTGAGAGAGAGAGACAGAGTATGAGCAAGGGAGGGGCAGAGAGAGAGAAGGAGACACAGAATACGAAGCAGGCTCCAGGTACTGAGCCCACAGAGCCCAACACGGGCCTTGAACTCACAAACTGTGAGATCATGACCTGAGCTGAAGTCAGACACTTAACCAACTGAGTCACCCAAGCACCCCTAAAAATTTATTTCTACTCTCGCTATGCTTCTGGTGCTACTCTTGAGTAATCCTCGGTGAGTCAAACAATCTCTTTCTTTTTGCTTTTTACTTCAGGTATATGTTGTATTTCTAGATATTCTACTTGGTACTTTTTCAATATTCTGGTGATTTTTTTTTTTATTTTTTTAGATTTTATTTTTAAGTAATCTCTACACCCGACATGGGGCTTGAACTCACAACCTCAAGATCAAGAGTCATACTTTCTACCAACTGAGCCAGCCAGGTGCCTCTTAAATTCTTCTGCTTCCCAGTCCCTAACAAAATCTATAGTAGTGATGGGCAGCAGCTGGAATAAGATTGGAAGGAGCCAAAACTCTGAGAGAAGTGAAATCTTCCTCTGTTGGGTCAGCTGTAATTCTTTTTTTTATTTCTTATTTTTTCACGTTTATTCATTTTTGAGAGACAGAGCACAAGTGGTGGTGGGGTAGAGAGAGGGGGAGACACAGAATCTGAAGCAGGCTCCAGGTTCTGAGCTGTCAACACAGAGCCCGATGTAGGGCTTGAGCCCAAGAACGATGATATCATGACCTGAGCCAAAGTCGGACCCTTCACTGACCGAGCCATCCAGGGGGTCAACCTGTAATTCTAAGAGAGTCGGTGGACCCCTGTTGTCCTTGTTTCTCTTTTCTCTCTTTGGTTTGTTCTCCGCCACTTGGCTCTGGATATGGAGCTGAAGTTGCGGAAGGGCCTGGCAATGCAGGGTAAACAAAGCCTAAGTTGTTTGGAGACTTGGGGAAAACAGAAGGCACTGGGGAGATCACCAAGGGAAGGAGTTGAGAAAGCAAACACATACAGTTGTTTATGTATTCCTGGGTTCACCTCCAAGCTGTGCATGCTGACATGCATCGAGAAATGAACAGATACACCATGACCTAGGTCCCAGACTAGTCACTTGGTGGTGCCTATGCAAGGAGGCACTAAATGAACTGCAAACAGAGGCTTTGAAAAGCTAAACTGACATTGGAACACAACCCACCCAAGACAGATTGAACTTTTCAGCCTGAACCTAATCATTTAAACTACTTTTCAAAACACAATATCAACCTTCTCCATTCGGTGTAAGCAAGACCTAGAGTCTTGTAAGTTTCATAATGTCCAGGATATAATCCAAAATTATGTAGCCTATGAAGGAAAAGGAAAACATCAACTCCTATGGCAAAATATCAACCTATGGCAAAAAGCTACCAACAGACTCCAGTTTTGAGATGAAATAAATGTTGGAATTATCTTTCAAAGATGTTAAAGCAACTATTATAACAATTCTTTTTTTTTAATACTTATTTTTGTGAGAGAGAGAGAGAGACAGAGAGACAGAGTGTGAGCTGGGGAGGGGCAGAGAGAAGGAGACACAGAACCTGAAGCAGGCTCTAGGCTGTGAGCTGTTAACACAGAGTGTGACACAGGGCTCGAACTCACAAACTGTGAGGTCATGACCTGAGCCGGAGTTGGATGCTTAACCAACTGAGCCACCCAGGTGCCCATATAACAATTCTGAAGCAAGTTATCATGAACACCCTTGAAACTGATGGAAAAATAGAATGTCTTGGCAAAGAAACAGAAGACATAAAGAAGAAGGAAAAGGAAATTTGGTAAGAACATAACAACTGAAATTAAACACTCACTGGATGGGCTTGATATCAGAATGCACATGACAGAAAGAGGAGCAGTGACCTTGAAGACTGACCCATGGAAATTATCTAATTTGAACAACAGCAACAAAAAATATACTTGAAAAAGATACACAGAGCCTCAGGAACAATAACCAAAGTCCTGACATCTGTCACAGTCATGGAAAGAGAAGAGAAGGGTACAAGGCTGAAAAAACATTTGAGGAAATAATGACTTGAAATTTCCAAGTATGTCAGAAGACACAAGCCTATAGACTCAAAAAGCTTGTGATGAACATGTAAGATTGACTCAGCAGCTTGTAAATATGCACTACACTATTATTGACTATAATCAACATGCTGTACATTAGAGCAGGTCACTGTTTGCCACAGTCAATGCCACTGTGTGGCTGCTACTGTTTTTATTTCCTGTTAGTAGTTGTCTCTATATGTTTCAGCTTAGTTGGTCTGTGTGGGGTGAAACAGAAGCCCACCCTTTGTGTGATACCCCAGAAAGCTGGTGGGGCACTGACCCACCCTGCTCTCTCCTTCCATGGTGAGGGGACTTTAATGGGAGACTTCCCTTTGGCATGGAGCATGCAGGGATGGGATGATGCAGGCGAATGTAGCTGCCCTTTCTTCTCTTCGTATGCAATTATTCTCAGGTGTATGTTCCATTTTGCTGAAGTTTCTATGTGCACTCCAGAGCTTGCCCAATTACACCTGTGTAATTGTTGATCTTTGTTGTGGGACAGAGGCTGGGGTCTCATATGTTGTCATTTGGTGAACATCCCTCTGTATGCGTATGTTTTGAAATGTCATATTTTCATTTTTGGTTCAAAATATTTTCTATTTTCTATCATGATTTCATTTTGATCCATGATCCCTCAGAATTGCTTTGCTTAATTTTTAATCATATGTAAAATCTTTCTAGCCATTTTACTTTATTTATTTCTAGCTTAATTCCACCGTGGTCAGTTTGATTTCAATTTCTTGACATTTGTTGAGAATTTTTTTTTTTAATTTTTTTTTTCAATATTTATTTTTGAGACAGAGCATGAACGGGGGAGGGGCAGAGAGAGAGGGAGACACAGAATCGGAAACAGGCTCCAGGCTCTGAGCCATCAGCCCAGAGCCTGACGCGGGGCTCGAACTCACAGACCGCGAGATCGTGACCTGGCTGAAGTCGGACGCTTAACCGACTGCGCCACCCAGGCGCCCCAATGTTGAGAATTTTTTTAAAAAAATGTTCCATTTGCTCTTGTTAAGAATGTATGTTCCACAGTAATTCTGAATTCTTTTTGATAGACATTAGTCACTTATTATTTGTGTTGTTCAAATCTTTTAGATCGTTACTGGGTTTGCTGTATTTTGTTTTGTTTTTTCTTCCTATTCTATAAGTTACTGGGAAGTATGTTCAAATTGTCTCTTGGTCCATAATGCTTCTGGCAATGGCAGACCAGTTTACTTGGGACCTTGAGATCCTTCCAGGAAAGCAAAATACGATTCCTTGAGGATTGTCCAGCAACATTTTGGATACAAATCACCTCCCACTTCTGCTTTCAGAGTAGGTTAGCTCTGGGCTTTGAAGTGAGACACCCACAAGCAAAAGCTCATCATGTTCCTTAACGCACCTGCAGGTTAAGAGTGTCCTATTGCTTGGTGGTTCCAGAGTTTTTCTCAACCTCTTTTTTATGCTAATTTCTTAGCAGGAAACAGTTCACTGGTTTTGTCCTAAGGCAATCACCCCCTGCTAGTCCAGAAGAAAACTACAGACCTGTCCTCCTCCATCCATCTCAGCTAATACTCTTTCTGCAAAGCACCCCTCCCAACCCTATTCCCTACTAGAACCCCTATTTAAGTATATCTCTGGCCCTTAACTTGTATGTATTTCAGGAAATTGGCAGAGGGGCTTTTAGACAATGAAGTCTACATATCTATTTGTAATAACCTGCTGAGTGGACTATGGTAGTTTCAGCTACCTGTCTGTGCCTGTTCGTTTTCCTTTGTTAATTTTAGCAAACAATACTTGTGCTCTGCAAGTTTTATGGGTATAACAACAGGGACCCAAAAGGAAAAGTTGGCAAATTAGAATATGCGAGGGTCATAGAGCTTAATACCAAATTGATAATCCAACCTTGTCTGCAACTTCATCTGTTGGTGTTGGGACAGTAGAAGGTAGGATATCAGCCTTTTATTTCCTTCAAGTTCTCATTCTTTTTCCCCAAGTCTGTATTTAATTCCATCATGGAGGAAAACTAACTTTCCTTCTGAGCTATCCCAATTCCTCTCTATCCCTCAAGGACCAAGCATCTCTTCTTCCAGAAAAATGATACCATGACACGGACATGTAGCAACCCCTCTATATTTATAACTTAAGGCACTGTCTCATTCATCCCTTCTTGCCTTTTCCCATCCTGGTTTCTGTTTGCTTGGATCATAAGACTTAACCCTTCTTTGGACTATCTGCCAAAAGATAGAGTTAGCCACACCTGCACTCATGAGGAGTGGCCCTTGCCACAGCCTGAGCACAGTGTAGGCTCTATAACCCTCTAAAGCTTGTCTATTCTTTCTAGGAGTATTTATATTTGAAAAAATTCCTCCAGATTCCAAGTGACTGAGTAAATAATGATAACAAAAGAGGCATTGTCTGAGAGGACAGTTTGGAGAGGTCAATGGCATTTCTTTCCAATTGCAGACCATGGGTGCTGCCACCTTTAAGGAAGATTGTACTTCCCTGGATTAGTTAAAAGGGAGGCCACTTGTGGGAACCTGCTAGAATCACAGGCCAGAAATAAGAAAAGAAAGGCTGCACCAAGGTATGGGGAACCCAGAGAGATGGTGTTTCCTGTAACCGTAAGAACATCCCACACATAAGCAGTTTTCCCCAGGTATGTTAGTCAGTGAACCAAGAGAGTCCAGGAGTCTTGGCTAAGAAGAACAAACTTCCAAACGTTAAGAAATCAGGGAAATGCACTGGGAGACAGGGTTTGGGGGCTTAGGGAAAGGTGGAGACAGTGAATGGTCCTGGGATTATAGAAGAAGAGACAGAGCTTCTGAATTACTTCCACAGTTTATTTGTCAAGGAATTGAGATTGATAAAATAATGGTTCAGGGAAGAGGGCTGTCAGGTAGGAGACATTGCCCTGGGACCGCTCTTCCTCCCTCCCCCTACTTTCCAGCTGGGACAAGATGATGGTCCCACTGGACATCAAGTAGTATTATTCTGATGCCCCATATCCATTTATTAACCAGTCAGGGTGGTGGTCATGGAAAAAGTAAATGCTGGCGTGGTGGTGGTGGTGACGGGTGTATAGTCCTCAGTGTCAGCCTCTGGAAGAGAGAATGGGTAGGTATTCAGTGGCCACACAGTCTGGTGAAAAACATTTCTTTAAGTATAACAGATCCTCCCAAACTCTGGTGGTAGGCATATTTTCTGTGATTTAGGATATTCGCACACCACGCTTCTCTCAAGATGTTTTTTGTTTGCTTGTTTGCTTTAAGCAAGCCTCATGCTCAGCACAGAGCCCTGTGTGGGTCTTGAACTCACGACCCTGAGATCAAGACCTGAGATGAGATTAAAAGTTAGATGTGTAAACAAATGAGCTACCCAGGCACACTATAGATGTTTTAAGCCCAATGAGTAAAGACACATAAATGTCAGACCGATGGGGTTTGGATAAATCAGGTAGGCCTGCAAGTGACTTGGAATGGAGGGAGGACAGGGATTGGGGATGGGAGGAAGGGGTGGGGTACCTCAAGTTGGACTGGGTACCAGGACTAGGAAGACATATTCTGTCTGTCCCCTAAGTAGGGAGTCCACGGTCTTAAAAACCAAATGGCAAGAGAGGGGTGCTTCTGAGGTCCTACCATGTTTTCTGACGTTCATGCAGATAGGACCACAGAGAGAATAGCAGCATCCGTAGCCCACACCGCATTGCCAGGCATACTTGCACCTTCTGCCGCACTCGTAGTTACTGGGAAGCCTCGGGCAGTGTCTCGGTTTCAGTTCTACTATAACTGAGAAGGAACACATGAGCAGTGGCTCCAAGAAGATGACTTTTTCTCACTATTATCCACCCCTTTAAAGCCACAGGACTCACTCCATTGGTTTTTCGTCTTCTTCTCTGTGTCCAGGGATCTGGGTGGGCTTTTTTGTTCCTGGAGTCAAAATCCAGCTCCCACCCCTAACAAATCCAGCAACCATAAAATCACCTGCATGCAACTTAACATCACAGGACCTGAGTCCTGAAACACAATTCCCAGAACAAAGAGTCCCAAGAGATCCTCTTGTCTCTTGCCCTCATTTACAGGGTAGGGGAATGGATCACAGAGAAGAGGAAGAACTGTCTTGTACTTTTCCCTGTCTCATTGAGACAGCCCTCCAAACCTAGCTGCTCCCCGGAAACCTCTGCCACCAGTTATGGACCCACAACTCCCCCCTCAATTCTGCTGATTTTAATTTTTTACCCCAGTGATTCCAAACTTCTCTTGGTCAAGCACACATTTAACTTCTCCTCTACATGCCCAATGGTCTAAAATACCCAATTCCCTTGACAAAGGGCATATTTCAAGAAATAATTAGTACCCCATTCCCAATTTGGTGCTCATGCTTGGAACTCCTAACTGGAGTCACAAACTCCTAGTGGCTCAGTCTAAGCACCTTCCACCTGGGTTTTGAAACCTGTGGAGGTTTCCACTGCTAAGATCCTCTT